TGGCAGGGGGGTTGGAACTCGATGATCTTCAAGGTCCTTTCCAACCTAAACCATTCTGTGATTCTATGACTCTTTGGTGCTTTCACATCACTTGATACCACTGGGAGATGAGGAACAGCCCAACATAGGTCCGTCCAGAGCTGCTCCATCACACTGGTCTCATCTCCTCCCTCAGAGGAGAGCAACCTCCTGGGAGAAGCGGGCAACACGGGCGAGACCTCGGCTCCAGCGAGGCTTCCAGCCCAGGACACTTCCACCCAGGCAAAATCACTGCCAGGTGGACAGAGCCCTTGGTGGCTGCCCTCCGCAGGCAGCTTTCCTAATGCTCCCAACGCATTTCCCAGTGCCAGAACTGGAGGACAACAACAGATCTCAAAGGCATCTCTTTTGGGCCTGAACGCAGCTGATGGTTTTGCTAGTTACTTAAATGATGGACACAGTGGAGGCTTGTAACGGGCTGAAAAAGCGCTGCAAACCAACTGGGGAGAGAATAAAAGGAGCAGAATCCAAAGTATCTCAGTGAACAGAAGGAAAGAGCCAACATCAGCCATGTCTAGCCTGACGGACCAGCCCCACGTGCAGCAGGAGGGACTGGTCCCTGCAGACACCACCCCCCACTGAAACCCTAAATCCCACCCAGCACGTCTTCCCTGACGGGCCTTCCCACCTGGGAAGGTTGTAACCTTCAACACAGAGGACTCCTGTCCTCTCCAGTGCTTTGTACTCTCAAACCAGTCAAGCTCTTCTCACGTCTAACCCAACCTGCCTTGTGGCAGCTTAAATCTGTGACTTTGCACCTGAGGAGCTGAGGCCACAGACCACAGAGCTCTCTCCTCTCCGCGGCGCTCGCTAGGTACGGGAAGTGTGTTGAGCTGCTGACTGGCCACCACCAGCAGAGGAGAGCTGGTGGACCGTCAAGAACTGGGAGAGGTGACCACGATGGCAATCCTCTGCTCCAGGGAAGCTCCCACAGCCGCTCCCCTGCAGAGCGACGGCCGAGACCTCTCCCAGCTGGAAGATGCTCCTGCTCCAGCAAACGCCCCGCTCCCCACAGCCCCCTTCCCTGCTCAGGGTGCTCCCAACCTGAGATCTCGTCCTCGTTGTCCTCCGGGAAGTGCTGGCTGCTCCGCTGCTCCCACATGGGCGGCGTGTATTTCTTTCGCGTCACGTATTGGCGGCCAATTGTTTTCTTGGCGTTTTTCACCAGGTTTTTGGAGAGTGTCCTGGAACCAGAGAAGAGGTTGAGGCCAGCTAACGCCACCTCCCGCACGTGCACGACCACAGCCCGGCGCGGCCAGAAGAGCAGCCCCTGAAGGGTTAGAGACACCAACACTCAGTCACCCCGAGAGCAAAGCAGAGACAGGAGCATCCCTCACCACCGGCTACAGGCGTGGGGTCAAAGTCACCGTCACCGCAGGAGGGGAGATGTCACCCGGTAGCTCCCTGGCAGGGAGGAGCTGGCTCCTCGGCCGTAGGAGGGCTCCAAGCCAGAGGCAGAGCCTGCAGGGACTCTCTTCCCCTGGGGGGACCCGGGTGCCCGGGGAGGCTGGACGGGGCAGCCCGGCTGAGCAGGCACCTCAGCCTCCCGGCCCGAGGGGACACCAGCCTTGTCCCGGGCCCTAATGCCATCACCTCCGCATCGGAGCTCCCGCAGGCAGCGCTCTGGCTCGTCCCTGGAGGAGGTGAGCTCCATCTCACGGTGGGGGCCGGGGGATACGCCGCAGGGACGTTGCCAGCCCAGCCCAGGCACAGGCAGGGGGGAGGCAGCTTGTGGAAGGTGACCTGCTCGATGCCACGTCGGCATCGAGGGACAGGGAGAGCACAACTGGGCTCAGCCACTCCTGAAGGCAGCCCAGGGAAAGCAGGGAAGGGAGACCTTCCAAAACCCGCGGGTGCTTAGGATGCACGGTCAGAACAGGCTCCGCACGACAGAGCTCCAGAAGGCAGGAACGGTCTGCCCACGTGCAGGACCTCACGCTCATCACCGTCGCTGTGAGCCCCTGAGCTCAAAGGGGAGCAAATCAAGGAGATGCGGGACATACATCGGGCCGGGACGGGGCCACGTCCAACCCAGGACAACAGCTACGCTGCTGCAAAGATTTCTAGAAATTCACCTTATCCAGACGGGGGCCAAAGCGGGACTAGGAGCTGCCTTTTTTTGCTTTGCAAAGCAGACGGTGAGGGAATCCACCTGCTCCCAACTTTCACCAAGGGAGGGAAAGCCTCAGGACCGAGGAAGAACGCTGTTCTGAGAACAAACGCTCAGGTACGGAGCCACGGAACGAGAGGGCATTCCAACCAGAGGAGCAAGATTTGCAGATAGTGTGGGGCACTGGAAGCAGACTTGGAGGGGGGTGACAGAGCGCATCTCGCGAGTTCAGACAGAGTTCTGAGACTGTGCCCAGGCCCGGAGCCGGGCCCGGCAGCTCTAGAGGTCTCTGGAGGTTAGTGGTACAGGCACAGCTCCCTCAGCACGTCCTCGGATGCACCAGAGTGCCATGGAGCACTGTGACGACCGACCGACTGACCGACCGCCTCCGGAGGCCACGGTGCTGCGACGGTGAGAGTGCGCACCCCCAAACCTGAACGTCAGACCGGCAGCCTGGAAAAGGGCATTCCCCACGTGACAAGCCCACAGCCCAGGTCGCATGCAGAGCAGGTGAGAAGAAACCCTGGGAGCAGTGAAGGCTGCAGCCTGAGCCAATGCCACCTCGCAAGCTCCCGCCCAGGGTGAAGGCATCTTACGTGGTCGAATGGCCAAGGTGCCCGAGGGATATGACCCCCACTGTCAGGCCCTGGAACATATCGGTCACCTGCTGGGAGCTGAGTCACAAACACACGGGAGAGACGCTTAGACTCCAGGGCACACCAAGCGGGAACACAGCAGCAACCAGACCCCAGCGCTACAGCATCGCTTAACCTAGCCACCGAGCGCAGGAGCAGGGTCTGGCCGCAGGTCAGCACCACGCACAGAGCTTTGCCGCTGCCCCGCAGCGCTCCCCGTCCTCCGGCACGGCAGAGACTGCTCTCTCGTGCCCACCAGAACCTCTCCCCTGAGACGCCTCCTCGGGGCTCACGCCGCTTTGGCCCGGGCAACGGGGCAGGCAATGCCGCCGAAGCGAACGCCCTGCTCCCCGCGTTTGACCGGTCCTCCGCGTGGGGCTGGGAGACCGCTGCCAGACGCGCAGCACGTCCCCTCCCAAAGGCAAGTGGAGATCCTGTGCAAGGAGAGCTCTGAGCAAGGCAGGCTCAGGGAGCCCTGACCTCCGGCTCGGGACTCCGTGCCCCAGCTTTTCTCGGGTGACCCCCGCTCAGCGGCTGGAGGAGGCAGAGGAGAAGCTCTGCAGTGCCTGAAAGGGTCCAGCGCGTCCCACGCGCTGCTCTCCCCACGCACGGGTACCTGAGCGAGGGGTTCTTCTCCTTGGCCTTGGGCTGCATGGCTTGCTTGGGGGACTGGCCCACGGTGAAGGCGAAGGTGCCACGCACGTGCTGGGGGTAGCGCAGCTTGTGCAGGTGCTTCCTGAAGACCTCAGCGCTGTCTGAAGCCACCTCCTCATCGAAGGCAATCTTCAGCAACTGCAGGAACAGCAGAGAGCGGGCTGAAGGGTGGGTGACGGCCGGGCCAGGGGACTGCAAAGGGCTCTTCCCACCGTCCAGGGCAGAGCTCAGACCCGGTCGGGAGCAGAGACCCCAACGGGCACAGCCCAGGCTGGGACGCTGCCCCGACCGCCCCTCCGTCCCGGTTACTCTGTCCCACACCCCTTCCTGCCGGGGACCGCTCCACACCCGGCACTGCCCCTCCGGTGATGTCCCCAGTGCCCGGTCGCTGCGGCTCTGAGCACGCAAGACGGGCAGGAAGGAGTAGACAGCACATTTCAGGTGCTCTCCTCCCCACGTTGCTCTACCTCCACAAGTCTCACAAAGATGTAAAAAGCTGAATAACTACTCGCGTTGTGAGTCTCTCCCTGATGTATTTCCCTCCCCCAAGACCTGCTACAGGGTTTTGCAGTTAAACTGAAAGAGGAGAGGTTTAGATTGGGTATCGGGAAGAAATTATCTCCTGAGTGGGTGGTGAGCATAACCACCTCCCACGGTGCCATGTGTGGACATCTCACACCTTCCCAGGGCTCCAGCAGCCACCGGAGCTGTTAGAAAGGACCCTGAGCTCATGAGCAAGAAGCTGCTCCTGCATACAGCCAAACTGGGACTGGAGCCCCTCTGCTGGGAGGACAGGCTGGGAGAGGTGGGGGGTTCAGCCTGGAGAAGAGAAGGCCAAAAAGGGGAGAGCTCAGAGCCCCTTCCAGTGCCTAAAGGGGCTCCAGGAGAGCTGGGGGGGACTCCGGGTCAGGGAGGGGAGCCGTGGGACGAGGGGGGACGCTTTGACACTGACAGAGGGGAGATTGAGGTGAGATGTGAGGAAGAAATTCTCTCTTGTGCGGGCGGTGATCCCCTGGGGCAGGTCGCCCCGAGAAGCTGTGGCTGCCCCATCCCTGGAGGTGTTCAAGGCCAGGTTGGACGGGGCTCGGAGCAACCTGGGCTGGGGGGAGGTGGCCCTGCCCAGGGCAGGGGGGGACTCGATGGCCTTTGAAGGTCCCTTCAGCCCAAACCGTTCTATGATGCTATGGACCACAGCCTGCTCCCTCCCCTGCAAGGGGACCTCCAGCTCCGTCCCCTCAGGTGCACCGTCACCTGCTACAGAGGTTGTCTTTGGTCCTCTCAGGAAAACTACCCCCAAACCACATCAGCCCACGCAGTGTCTCATCCCAAGGGATGGCGGCAGCCACGGCCACGTACCTTCTGGGTCCCACCAGCAATGTGCTCCTCGGCTGAGACACTGCAACGCAAAGGAGCCGCCCGCAGCCCCACGCGGCCTCACCTGGAATGTGCACGAGCGCAGCTGCAAGCCCTCCTGGATGAACTGATCCACCTGGGCCTGGATATTGATCTTCTTCTCTTTGGTCAGTGAGGCGATGGGGAAGGACCGGATCACCACCTGCTCCCCCACTGGGCACAAGCACAGGAACAGGTTAGCCACATCCCGCTGCACAAGGCCAGACCACGCTGGACCACTCTTGGTGGCCATCACCACAGAGAGCCCCGTAGGATCAAGCAGACAGAAACAGGCCAGACACACTACAGCCAGCCCGCGGCGACTTGCAGATCATGCCTAGGATGGGCATGAGTAATTTACTGTCTACCGAAGGTGGACAGCAAGAGCAACCACCTCCTTTGTAGTACTGGGAGCATCCATCAAGCCTGCGGAGGTTGCAGCAGCCCCCAGGAGGGCCCAGCGCCGGCTCAGCACCCACACGGGGCGGCCACTCTCATCCGCAACTCCTGCAGCAGGTGAGCTGCAGCCACTGCGCCGGGAGAGCTACCGGCCACCTCCCCCCGAGGCATTACCAACCCCCGAAGACAGAAGACGTGGTGCACCCCAGAGCCTTACCCAGAGGGTCCGTGGGAGTGCCTTTGAAGATGATGCGGTAAGTGGTGAGGAAAATGGCTCCTTCCGCGGGGAGGAGAGGTGGACCACCAATATTCCCTCCAGCGGCTTCTTCCCGTCCATCAGGCATGAGGTACACGCGGAGCCCTTCCATCACACACTCCTCACCCACCAACAGGTTGGGGCGCAGCAGCTTTGGCTACGGGGATGTGCAACAGTAAGTTGAGGCCCATGCAGACTGCAGGAGGGCACCTGATAGCCCCACACTTCACCAGACCCTTCTCCCCACTGCAGCAGGCCGGGTCCCTACCTTCTGGATGGGAGGAAGCCTCTTGCTCTCCCTGTGCACGGCGTCCAGTGTCTCTATGTGCATCTGCACAATATCTGTGGACAAACGTGCAGTTAAAGACTGCGAGCGAAGTCCTACACACCACGCAGGGGCTGCCACCCGCCCTTGTAGCACTGCGTGTCCTTCTCTTGGCCTTCCCACTGCTTCTTGCAGAACCACCTCTTGAGCAAACCCCCGAGCTGATCTGGAAGGATCCCCAGTGAGAGCACAGGGCTGCCCATTCCCCAGCGCTGCCGCAACGCGTATTACCAGGGATCATGACATGCAGCCCCTTGAGGTGCTCGTTGGTGACTCCACTCTCCGTGCAGACTTTGTCCACAAAGCGGTTGATGAATCGCACCACGTAGTTGGCCACGTCGGAACTCTCGGCGTCCTCAAATCCACTTTCTGTGTCATAGCTCTCAGCCACGCTGCCGGCGATGCTGTCGGACAGGAGTAGGGAAGAGTTAACCCGGAACATCTCTCCTCTGCTGTAACCCACGTCAGGCAGAGCCCGAGGGAGTTTCCACTCTTGATGTGAACTCAGGAGAGCTTCCAGTCCCTGGGCACCGCAACCCGCATCAATCCTGACGGCAGCCGAATGAGCCAGATGCCCCGGGTACTGCACCCAGGAGCTCCCGTCCCCAGTCCAGGTTGCTCTGGTGTCCCTGCAGCACGGCCCTGCCCAGCTTTCCAGCCCTGCTCACCTGTTGGTGACGAAGCTGTTGCTGACACTCTCCACGTCCCCCAGCCCAGAGCTGCGTAGCAGGCGGTTCTTGCTGGTGTCGAGAGGCAGCAGCAGGTAGCTCATGCGGTTGGCGTAGTGGATGGCCTGGCTGAAGACAGTGCTCTCCTCCTTCTGGATCAGCTCCTGCTGCTTCTCTCGGCTCATGGTGGGCCAGAGCCTCAGCTGCTCCGACGCTATCTCCAGGGCAGACTTGGCTTCCTGCGGCTCCTCCGTGCTCTCCTGAAGGAGTTGGAAGGAGATGTCAGTCGTCCGCACGGACAGGAGACCTGCCAGCCTTCACCCCACTGCTCCCACGGGAATCTCCCAGCACCAGGACGCAGTCCCTCGGGCTGGTTCAGCATCCTCAGCACCCCACGGGCCTTTGGGGAGAGCTGCTTCTGCGCAGCGGCTCTCCGGGGACACTGGCACCGCCGTCACCTCCTCACCTCATCCACGCGGTTCTCCTCGTTGTTGTCCAGGTACAAGGCTCGGATGTGGTTCTGCACATCGCAGTAGAACATGGCCTCCCAGAACTGGATGTTGGTCCACACCACGTGCTCCTGCACACAGCTGTAGGCAAACTGCGTGATGCCCGGGCTCAGTTTCTGAGGAAGCAGAAGGTGGAAGACGGTTTCATACAAACGCGGCCTTTGTGCCAAGCTCTCCCCTCCAGGTGATCCCTGCTCCAGCCTCTTGCTGGGAAAGGCAACGCACCCTTGGGCTGGCAGGAGGGACACTTGCATCAGAGTTCCTCCAAGCATTCCTTGCAAACTCTTCCCAGATTTGCCCAGCACCCACCCAGAGCCCCGCAGGGCCTCGTGCCGCAGAAGCTTTACGGGAGGCAGAATCTCATCTCAGCCCAGCTTGACCGACATGAGCCAGCACTGTGCCCTGGAGGCCAAGGCGGCCAATGGCATCCTGGGGGGCATCAAGAAGAGCGTGGCCAGCAGGTGGAGGGAGGTCATCCTCCCCCTCTGCTCTGCCCTGGGGAGGCCACTTCCGGAGCGCTGTGTCCAGTTCTGGGCTCCCCGGGTCAAGAAGGACAGGGAACTGCTGGAGAGGGTCCAGCAAAGGGCTACGGAGATGATTAGAACATCTCTCGTATGAGGAAAGGCTGAGGGACTTGGGGCTCTTTAGTCGACAGAAGACTGAGGGGGGTTCTTATTAATGCTTATAAATACTTAAAGGGAGGATGCCAGGGGGATGGGAACAATCTTTTTTCAGTGGTGCCCAGTGATAGGAT